TATATAAGTATTAAGTAGGTAGTTATTTAAAAATTTCTATATCTTATAAAAGTTATATTATATTAATATTATTATGTTGATAGTAAATTATAATATAGGTATATAGGTACATGCACATCAATATTTAATAGATTTAATAAATTGGTTGATTTTTTATAAAAATAAAATGTTCTATTCTAGCAGAATATTTATTTTTTTGGTACACCTCAATGACACATTACCACTGGCCATTTCTCTTAAAAATCTATATTTTTGCTCTTTAAATAAAATACACACAACACCTTTGTTCGTAACAGTTATTATAAAATCCATTTTAACGAATGACGCTTACACGGATGCTTACGAAATAGGTACTAACAATATTATGTTATAACACAAACTGCTCACACACTGCCTATTTGACAATCTATCGTAATCAGATAATACGATTAAGATTAATATGTCGATTAAGATTAAGCGTTTGGAGTTTTTGAGTGATATAGTTCTAAATTTAATATCTGTTATTTAATTTCTGGCACTTTTGTACGATACGACTTTTTTTTTCTTATCTTATTTTGGCGCTTATGTCTTCTACCGTTAGAATTTATACTGAAGACAGATTATTGTTGTAGCTGATAATGTCAATGACATGAAGCACCGAGTAAGGATAACTAATGTTTATATGGTTTTTAACATCATACTGTATTTTAAAATTTTTACAATATGAGTTATTATAATAATATAATTAATGACTTTTTGACACGTGGTGGTACGTACAANATTGTCAGTGTATATATTATATACTTGGTTCAATATTTGTCGCATTCTAGATAACAGATAAACATCACCTGGATACATCAACTTCAAAAAGACACATTGTAATTCAGTTACAGTCAATTTCATTCGATGTATACTAAAAATCTGACATTTGTTTGAATATTAAATTTTTCTCTAAGGGTACATGAAAATGTATGTATACACATTTTGCTATATAACTATAATGTTACTCAAACAAATAAACAAAACATGCAGTAATTGAGCCGATTAAAAATTGATAAAGTCTATAAATAATGTCAGCAATATAGTTTCCAGTTGAAACATTTATTTTAAATACCGTTTTTAAGAAAGTGGCAATTAATATTGTAGAATATTATTAATTATGATAATATGTGATTGACGATTAGTATTAATAGAAGCTAACTATATATAAAACATTTGAATAAATTAATTCAACAATTAAAACATAATACAATAAAGTTGAAACAAATTTATATTATTGTGAATGAAATATAGAAAATAAAAAAAAAGGTTACTGCAGTTAACAATGTGTGGTCTAAATAGTATATATTATTATTGATTATATAACATGTGGGTATAGGTACTCATACTAATATATATATAATATATATACTATATATTATATAGTATCAGTATATACTGACAAAAAAACTATACTATTAATAATTAAAAACCAAAACAATATTCACCCTTTTTAATGCCCTACATATTTATATCGATCGGTTTTTACAGCTGCAGCTGATTAAATTGATATATTTAATGTAGACGCATAAATTAGCTACGTATAAATTAAGATGTTGTCATGATTAAATACATCGAAATTGTTGATAAAAAAAAACTTATTGAACATTCACTTGTTAATCTTTCAAATAAATACTTCAATKAAATTATAAATTCTTAATTAATTCTTTGTCGAGAAGTTTAGAAATTAAAATCCTATTTGATTCTTATCTTTCTTCAATGAATACTCAAAAAAACTTTCGCGATAAAAATGTAAAATCTATAGAAAAAAAAAAAATTGAATTAATAATCATATGTATAATAACATATATAAATAGTTTTACTTTAATATTTCCACAATTTGTGAGATGGCATATACATTATACATATTGCATTTTTATTTTATTGTTTCAAGGAATATTTACATTTTAGTTATGAGAGTTTTAGAATTTTAGAATTTGGCTGTAGAACATAAGCGCCAATCTAATATTGTATACCTGCTATACCCAA